TGCCAGTGAAACTACAGTTGACTCTTAAGCAACACAGGTTTAAACTGCATGGGACCACTTGTATGTAGATTTTTTAAATAAATACGGTACTGTAAATGTATTTTCTCTTATGATTTTCTTAATAACATTTTCTTTTCTCTAACTTTACTATAAAAATATAGTATATAATACTTACACAAAATATGTGTTGATCGACTGTTTACTAGAGTATTACTAGTTTGGGGGAGGTCCAAAGTTATATGCGGATTTTTGACTACAGGGGTTTGGCACCCCACCCCCCACATTGTTCAAGGATCAACTGTATATGGATTGAGAAGGGTAAGAGAAAGAAGTGGTTCTATAAAGAAGATGACAGGTCCTGTGTCCATAAGAAGTGGCAATGGATGATGGGCATGGAAGAACAGAAGCTGTCATTCTTAGACTTAATATCAACTTTCTTTTGAGAATAAAGAATGTAGTCATGTTATAATTTATGTAATTACATCAAAGAAAAACATACTTACATGTAAATAAGCAATTCTAAAAGCATTTTATATACATATAGAGTTAGCTGTTAGAAATTTTATTGGTGAAAGTGAAGAAAAAAGATGCTTTAATGAAGGATTTATATAAATTGTTATATGTTTAGGAGGCATATATCTAACATCTTTTGTTTAGTTTCACAATTATGTTCAGAACTTGAATTTATATAATAGTAAAAGGTTACACATTTAAATATGTTTTATATAAACAATGTATTTTATATTAATGTATAGAAAGAGATCTAAAATCAAATGTATTCTAAACACCAGGTACTAGTCACAAAATATGTATTTACTGGACCTATTTATGTATTTTCTTCTAATGCTGTTCTTTTAAAAATATATTAATTTTATAGAAAAGGAGAAGGAGTTTTTAAATCTGACAACATTTCTACTATATCCATCCTAAAAGATGTGCTCTCTAAAGAAGCTACCAAAAGGAAGATTAACCTCAACATATCATACGGTAAAAAAAAAAAAAGAAGAAAAATAAATCATTCTTTATGGGGTATTGTTTTTTGGTTATTGTTACAATAAGAATATTTCTGATCAAAGTGACTTAGCTAATTGTGCTTGACTCACCTCCTTCTAGAGATAAATGAAGTATCAGTCAAACACACTTTAAAGCTAATCCACCCAAAGCTGGAGTACCAGTTGCTTTTGGCTAAGAAAGTGCAATTAATTGATGCTTTAAAAGTAAGTATACATTTCATGGACTCATGATCATTACTTTATTGTGATGGGATTTCTAAAATTGTAAAGACTTTAAAGTTACACTGGATTGGATTTTGATTATTAAAGTCCTTCTCTTTTTAATTTTAAATAAGGAGTTGCAGGTTCATGAGGGAAATACAAATTTTCTGATACCAGAATATCGCTGTATTCTAGAAGAGGCAGATCACCTACAGGAAGAATACAAAAAGCAACCTGCACATCTTGAAAGACTGTATGGTTAGTGGACTGTTCTAGAAAACCTTGCCGTATTTCTTTTTTTTTTTTTTTTAGATTTTATTTTTATTTTTCAACAGAGAGAGAGACAGTGAGAGAGTGAACGCAAGCAGGGGGAGTGGGAGAAGCAGGCTTGCCGCCGAGTAGGGAGCCCGATGTGGGACTCGATCCCAGGACCCTGGGATCATGACCTGAGCCGAAGGCAGACACTTAACAACTGAGCCACCCAGGTGGCCCCTTGCTGTATTTCTTTTCTACTGGCTATTTGTGAAGAATCTTGTGAGAGAAGCTAGGCAGAAAGATAAGCGAAGATTACAGCGATCATGAACCAGTGACAACCAATTTATTGCATCAAATATTTTGTAAAATTTGTTTTAATATTTAATATTTTTACTTGAAAAAATGAAAGGAAAGGGAAGCCTGGGTGGCTCAGTCCATTAAGCATCTGCCTTCGGATCAGGTCATGATCCCAGAGTCGGATGGAGTCCTGCATTGGGCTCCCTGCTCAGCGGGGAGCCGGCTTCTCCCTCTCCCTCTGCCTGCCACTCCCCCTACTTGTGCTCTCTCTCTCTCTCTGACAAATAAATTAAAAAAAAAAAAAAATCTAGAAAAAAATGAAAGTAAAAATTAAGTGAAATAAGTGTAATGCAGTAAATTAATCTCTATATGAAGAAACCTGGTGTGAAATGAATATAACCTATGAAGCAATAAAATGTAGGCCATATTTCACACAAATAATTTTTAGGTTCTGTTGATATTGTGAAATATCAAAAGGCAGCATTTAATATTTTTTAGGCAAAATATAATAAAGATATGTATGTGCTGTGAATTTACAGCAAAAGTTGTTTTGCTTTGGTGGTGACAAGTTGGGTGTTTCACAAATTGTCTTGAAAAACATTGAGAGCAAGAGGGAGATATGCAGGAAGGGAGAGAAAGAGGAAGGATGGAACAGCTTAAGGAAAACATTTTTGTGTGTGTGATCTTTATATAAGCTAAGCTTATTTATTTCCTATTTCTTTATAACATCTTCATTAATCAGATATTTAATCCTTACAATAGCTCTGCAAAGTAGATGGTGTTATCTTCATTTTTCACATTTTTTTAACTGAAATCTGACACTAAAGAATTTGTTGTCACATTGGTAGTGGCAAAGCCTGCACTAGAACTTCCTCACCCCAAAATGCTTGCTTTTTGCACTATGCCAAATCTTTTTGGCATAGTTGGTATCATCAATCCACATTGATCTTTGAACCTGCCTAATGAATTTATTTTAATACCCAGGGACTTGCTCACAAACTATAAATAACAATAATATCTAATATCTTAATATTTACTATATGGCAAACACATGATCTTTTATCCTTATAATAACTTAGAAGATGGGTGGTTTTCTATTATTACCAGTTCCAAAATTCAGAAAGCTTTAAAAACTAACACTTTAATAAATCATTTGGCAGCAAATTTGACTTGATCTGAATTAATAATTTAATGACAAAATTTCACTTAAACTGACATGAGGTTATTTATAGTCATTTTTATTCCACTTAGTGTGAATATTCACCCATATATTTTGTTGCAGAAACTCATTCCCCTTGGATATTATGCTATATTTGGTATATCCCTTTTATTATCTCTCTAAAATATGAAAAATTCTGAAACATGTCTTGGATAAACCCCAAGAATGGTCAACATATTGATGGAATATTTTAATTCAAATAGAACTTCAGAATCTGTTGGAGTGCCTGGTGGCTGTTGGTTAAGCATCTGTCTTTGGCTCAGGTCATGATCTCAGGATCCTGGGATCCAGTCCTGCATCGGGCTCCCTCCTCACCTGGGGGGAGTCTGCTTCTCCCTCACACTCTCCCTCTGTGCTCTCTCTCTCTCTCAACTAAATAAATAAAATCTTTAAAAAAAAGTATCAATACCCTTAGGCTTATATATTAAATAATGCAGTGATGAGTGCTTAGAAATAGATTCTCAAGTAATCACTCACTTTCATTAAGTACATTAATGACAGGAAATTAACATTTTTCTTTATAGGCATGATCACTGATCTTTTCATAGATAAGTTCAAGTTCAAAGGCACCAATGTAAAAACCAAAGTACCTCTTTTACTGGAGATTCTGGACAGTTATGACCAAAATGCATTGATTGCTTTCTTTGATGCTGCATGAACTATAAACAAGGTAAAGTTCCAAAGGAGTCTTTTTAAACGAAATATGTTAAAACAGAATTATGGCACAAGCTAACTGTACATACTTTTATTTCAAATGCTTTTTAATAACGTCTAAAAATATTTAAGATGTGACTTCTTTTAGTAATGCTTCTATTTTGAGAAATGGAGCTTTTTAAAAATAGAGTTTTTATTTTAAAACATTAGTGGAATGATGATAAGGAATTTTAATGAATTTTTTGCAAGTGGATGTTTCAACTTTTAAATTGAGAAGTATTTGGAAAATTAAAAATATATTCAAATATTTAACAAGCTATACCACATGTATAAACTACAGTTTTCAAAAATGTATTTACATTCATTACTTCATCTATTCTTCACAATATATATTGTTATTTTGTCAAGTCATATAGGAAAACTGATTCTCTGTGAGGTTAAGTGATTAAGAGGACAAGTTGTTATTATTTTGTAAAGCTGGGACCAGATCCCAAGTTCTGGTGCCTGGTTTGTGTCCTGGTTACTGTATACGTTGTTAACCAGTGGAAATAACTTACCAATTATTTTTTCTCAGAGTTGAGATTGATTTGCAACTGATTTCACTCTTGCTAGGTAATGTTTCGTGAACCATGCTCAGTTTGTGAAATGCTTGAGTTGGTTCAGTGCTATAAATTGTGGCCAGGGAAATGAGCAGAGCTTGCACAGATTGAAGGGATCTTCACTTGCTGTCCCTGTAACCAGTAAAACTATACAAGTGTACTACATGTGAAGAGTGCAGAAATAGTGATGGCTCCTTAGATTTTCCTGCACTAGTACCCACTAATTTCCATTTTATCATATATAGAGGGAAATAAGACTTTAAAGCTACAGAAGTTTTATTCATTAATCTTAATTTATGTTTTTTCATATTCAGGGTAATATTGTATTTAAAGGTTGTTTTAAAATGACATGAAGATTATATAATTATGTTTTCAAGAAGGGCACACTCATGAATTTGTCAAAAACAATGTTTCTTAATTATCTACCATTATATTTATTATATGCAAGCCTTGTATATTAAATTTGAAAATTTGTTAAAGGCACATATCACTGAGAGTTTTATTTTAATAAGGTCATATTTTTATTATATTTAAACAACCTTCATTGCTAAATGGAACAAATAATTTTATTTAGGTCACTAGAATTTCACTGGGTGCTTTTTGTTGGCTGCCACAGCTTGCGGAAAGATGCATCAAAATCAGTGACTGTCTAGTTTAATTTCTTATAGTACTTTTTGTTTTAGATAGATAGATAGATAGATAATGTCTCTCTATATATCAACAGTGGTTCAAGGTGGCACCTTCCCTAATTGCATCTTCATTAGGTAAATTCAAAGGCATGACTGAAGACACCTAAATGCTAAGATGACATTATAGTCTGGCACTTGAGTATCAGTTACTACGTGAGCAGCGTGTTAATGATTTATGCACATTATATAATTAGGACAACCATATGACATGAAGATATTTTTACTCCAATTAGTAAGAAAACTGAGAATCAGAGACCTTGAATAACCGGAGCAAGACTATCAGGCCGGTTAGTGGCTCAGCTTTTAGAGCTTTGGAAACCAGTTAAGCTGAGGGTCCCAGGGCTAACGTTAGGCTAGGGCGGCACACTAACAATTGCTGGAGCTTAACTCAGCTTATCCTAGACACGGCCCTTGCCCAGTGCCCACGAATCCTCGGGGCCCAGTTTAGTCGCCAGAAACTCAGGCCCCGCCTCTTCGGCCGGCGCAGGCGTTTTTCCTCCCGCCGCCGCTCGGCGTTTCTCCGCCCCTGCCCCGTGGCCTCGCCGCCGCCTTCATTCGCCTGCGACTGTGTCGCCTCGAGTGACGTCACGGGCCTCGGCCCTTCCCATTGGCCCATTTCAATAGTCGCGGGATACTTGAACTGCACGAACAGCCGCCGCTCCGGCGGGCTGCTCGCTACATCTCGGGGGCTTCTTTAGCCTTCCACGCCCGGCGGTTCCTACCTACGCCTTTCGCAACCTCTTCGGAACTGCGCGATCCCACGCGAGCAGGCTGGCCCGGGCTGCGGCGGCTGGTTACGGCTGGAGCGTTTCTCGGCGGTGTCGGCGGGACGGAGTACACGCTGCTTGGCGCCGCAGGCTGATCCCGCCGCGACCCCGGGAGCAGTGATGTTGGGCAGCTCCGAGCCCGGGCCTGCGGCCCGCGAGGCGGGCTCGTCGCTGCTAACATTGCAGCATACGGCGCTCCAAGAGGACCAGGAGAACATCAACCCCGAGAAGGCGGCGCCCGCCCAGCAGCCCCGGACCCGGGCGGGGCTGGCGGTACTGAAGGCCGGGAACCCGCGCGTTCCAGCGCCGCAGCAGAGGCCCAAGACACGACGGGTAAAGAGATGAGCGAGATCTGTGGGAGGGAGGGCCGAGCGGGAGTTTTGCACGAGGTTTAGCAGGCCGAGGAGCGTGGAGAGAAAGCATCTTCCGAGCTTTTTAAAGGGAGGCCTGGGTCTGGAGTCCCCTTGATCCCTAGTTTTCTGGCATGTGGGATGCCACTTACAGCTTCTCTCCCATTGCTCTCTTCGCCAGCGCTGTATTTTGCTGCTTGTCTGCTCTTTATTGGGGATATTTTTCTATAGATAATGAGGTCAAACCAAGCCCTACGTGTGTCCGCGCTTTTCTCGCCGCTTTAAACCTTAGGCACTGCCCTAGGATCTGGACCCGCTTCCTGCTTTCCATATGGTTAAGATTACCTCTATTTTAGGAAAGGGTATAAAAAATACTTTGCTTTTAGTAAATTCCGCCATTTTACCGGATTTGCTCTGTTGCTCCACCCTGGGGCGAACGAAAGTGGTGAACCAACACCTCTTTGCCTGCTCTCCTAAACTTGTCATCTTTCAGCCTGCCACTCCACTCATCTTGTAGCCTTGATTAGTTTTACATACTTTCACTTAGTGTGATTCTTTCTATAACTTATGTAGGAATGCCTGTAAGGAATTTGAACATCCCTTTCTTCAGCCACTCAAACTTTGTTGCCTGGATTTTGTCCCAGATAGTTTTATTTCCTGAGAGTATTTGGGAATGAAAGCAGAAACTGAGACCCATAAGGGGAAGAAAGCAAAACTCCATTTAATAGGCTCAAAGCCAGATATTCATTTCTTTTTAGGTTGCACCTCTTAAGGATCTTCCTATAAATGATGAACATGTCACTATTCCTCCCTGGAAAACAAACAGTAAACAGCCTGCATTTACCATTCATGTGGATGAAGCAGAAGAAGAGACTCAAAAGAGGCCACCTGAATCTAAAAAAACCGAACGTGAAAATGTCCTGGCTTTTAATTCAGCTATTACTTTACCTGGACCAAGAAAACCACTGGTACCTCTTGATTATCCAATGGATGGTAGTTTTGGTAAGTTTTGTATGAAAACTTCTAAGATTTGTATCAAATCAATGTAATCATAATTATTAAATAGGCTGAATTAATATTTTGCATTTTAAGACATTATCGTACCTGATCCTTACTACATAATGAAATTGGTTTAATGTAACAAAGTTTAGAAAGTGTGTGACTTATCTCAGATCTCACAGCTAATACGTTGACCTAGTGACCTATAAATCCTAACTGGGTGTTCTTCCTTGTATACTGCCGATAACATCAGTTTAATTAGATCTCAAACACTTTGCTTGCTTGGGAGAACAGATTTCAATTGTACTGATAAAATTCACTTTGTACATACCACTTCATAGTATTTGAATAGGACACAGCTTTCAATATTGTGATATCTAACATCTCTTACAGCTTTAAAATTTTCTGTAAATCTAGTCTGATACCAGAAAGGGACACTGTCCTGTGAATGAAGAGTTGAATCATGGCTGTTTGCAGTTAACCACATATAAAATAAAGTAGCTGCTATAAAGACAGCTCTGCCAACAGTTTGTGCAACTTCTTTACCATAGGTCTGTCGAGTCACTGACAACTCATTAAGTTCAATCTCATTTAGGTTTTAGTTCTATTATGAGAAGTCTGGGAATAGCAGGAAAATCCTTTGGAAAGAAAGTAATTTTTGTATTTTTATTGAAAATTTGTAACAAGTTTTAACCTCAAGATGAACCTTGAAGTGAAAAGAGTAATGAATGATATTCTTTGCCTCAAAAGGTAATTTAAAATTACAAAACATGAAACACTTGTTGATTGTAGTGCCAAGTTGTTTGAACGGCTCATAACAAACCTAATTTTCATTGACACGTTAGCCCTCCTTCTAGTTATTGCTACATTGTACTTCGAATTTATCAGACTTTGGGGTCTGCGAAATCTCTTAGGGTAAATACTACATAATATCACAAAACTTGGATTTTAACTCTGTCTTCACAGGATCACTGTGCCATCTGCTCTTCTCTCTCATAGAGTATGAGTGACACTTTTAACATAATACATCTTCAAATGCACTTTCCTTTTAGTGGCCTATCAGTATTTTCTCTTGTTGATTAAAACCAAGTGGACAGAGGTACTAAAACCAGAGTGAAATATTCTATGTACTTTGTCATAAGAAGCCCTTTTTAGTTGGATGAAAGAAATGCTTTCGTATGGGACGCCTTACAAGGGCTATCAGTTTTGGCTATTAAATTAATTAGAAAATTAAACAATGAACTTAATCATACTTTTATATTCTCCCAGAGTCACCACATACTATGGACATATCAATTGTATTAGAAGATGAAAAGCCACTGAGTGTCAATGAAGTCCCAGACTACCATGAGGACATTCACACATACCTTAGGGAAATGGAGGTAAGAGCTCTTGGAATCCAGTTCTTACACTGTTGTTTATTCCTTATGGCAAAATGAAACAGGATGTTTTTAAGTTTTTTAACTGCTAGTGAATTATTCTAATGTTATACTTATGTTTCTGGTATGTAGCATCTTTGTTAATGGTAGAATAATCTAATTGCAATTTTAACATTATAGTAAGTAACTTTCTCAACAGGTTAAATGTAAGCCTAAAGTGGGTTACATGAAGAAACAGCCAGACATCACTAACAGTATGAGGGCTATCCTTGTGGACTGGTTAGTTGAAGTAGGAGAAGAATATAAACTACAGAATGAGACCCTGCACTTGGCTGTGAACTACATTGATAGGTTCCTTTCATCGATGTCTGTGTTGAGAGGAAAACTTCAGCTTGTGGGCACTGCTGCTATGCTATTGGCCTCGTAAGTCCAACTTGGTTTGTTGGATTAAAAGTGATTGATATGCTTCTATGTAGGGAAGAAGTTGTGATTTTTATTTTTTTAAGATTTTATTTGAGAGAGAGAATGAGAGAGAGCACATGAGAGGGGGGAGGGGCAGAGGGCGAAGCAGACTTCGTGCTGAGCAAGGAGCCCGATGCGGGACTCGATCCAGGGACTCCGGGATCATGACCTGAGCCGAAGGCAGTTGCTTAACCATCTGAGCCACCCAGGCGGCCCACAAGTTGTGATTTTTAACATTGTGACATATTAATATGTACAGAAGGCAGAAAGTCAGTGACTGCTTTAGGGGGTAGCAGTATGAAACAGTGTGTGAAACTAATTTAATTTTCCCAGATCTAGATTCCAGGGTACCTACTTGAATGAAGATGGGAGACTGGCTACATTTTAATACACTAGGACTAGATTACCAAGTTTGAAAGTGTGGTTCCTTCCATCAAAAAGTGCTTTCTGGCATAAAATCTTCTCCCATGGAAATTAACTAAATTAAAAAACTAAAAATGTTTATTTTTCTAAGAATTTCCTAAATTTTCAGTTACTTGGTGAACTCTGGCATTATTCCCATCTTGGGAACTCTCTTGCCTCTTATATCCTTTAAATGCATTGGGACAAAATCCCAAGTCCTGGATGGATTTGGGTCTTTTAGTTAGCATTTATCTAGCTCTACTGGAAATGGTCAAGTATCAGGGGAAACAGGCAATTAGTGGAGTTTAGGTTTTGGACTCATTTCATGTATTCTGCTAAAGGGATTTCAGAATTAGATAAACAGCTTGCTTCTCTTTTTGGAAGGACTGATTACTTAAAACTTTTTTCATTGTAGAAAGTTTGAAGAAATATATCCCCCAGAAGTAGCAGAGTTTGTGTACATTACAGATGATACCTATACCAAGAAACAGGTCCTGAGAATGGAGCACCTAGTTTTGAAAGTGCTTGCTTTTGACCTAGCTGCACCAACAATAAATCAGTTTCTTACCCAATACTTTCTGCACCAGCCATCTGCCAACTGCAAAGTTGAAAGTTTAGCAATGGTAAGTTTTCATTTTGTTGAATGAAGATTCTTAGGTCACAGAGTTTAATTTTATAGCTTTGGTCAAGGGATTTAGTATTTTGGGGACAAATTAGTGTTGCAGTATAAAGAGAGTCTACCACTGGCAAAAGATAACATGAACTGGGAAAGTACTAAGAATAGTGGTATGAGGATGAAGTCTTAGGAAGTGGTAGCCAGAAGAGTTTTAAAAATTATTAAAAGAGGTAAAAGTACAGGATGAGGATAGATAAGGCTATGGGTTTTTTTCTTTGGTTGCCATAGAGCCAGTCTTTTAAAGATTTGAGAGAGAGAGCACAGAGGGAGAGTGAGCGGGAGCAGACTCCCCATTGAGCAGGGAGCCAGACGTGGGGCTTGACCCCAGGACCCTGGGATCATGACCTGAGCTGAAGGCAGGCGCTTAACCAACTGAGCCACCCAGGTGTCCTGCCATAGAGCCACTCTTAAAGAGTGGCCTAGGGCATAAGGCAAAAATTTGAGGCTTGAATTCTAGAGCTCTTGTGATCATAAAGTGTATTTGCTTTTTCATTCCAGTTTTTGGGAGAACTAAGTCTGATAGATGCTGACCCCTACCTAAAGTATCTGCCATCAGTTATTGCTGCAGCAGCTTTTCATTTAGCACTCTACACAGTCACAGGACAGAGCTGGGTATGTATCACCATGTCTTCACACATCTGTCTTGCAACTTAAATATCTGTGCCAGGTAAGTTAGAGAACTGTCCTATACAAATGTTGCTGGTATAGAGGTACTTACCTAGAAAAACTGATCAAAAAATATATGCTGTTTAAAGTGTCTTACCTGTTTAGTAACATGTTTGCTTGTTAGGTAGAAAGTTATTACTTGGGTTTGAAAGGTGTGCTTAAAGAATTAGGGCCATGAGACCTGCTGCTGGAAGGGAAAGTAGTAAAAATTGATCAAAGTCAACATAAAAGACGGAATAATGGCTTGAGAAATCTGGAAGATTTGTTAGTTGGAGGTGTTACTCTTGAAATTTAACAAAACTCAAGTTTAATGCCAATACTACCTCATTGTGTTTAGTGTCTGTTGCTAAAAACAAAACTCAGTGGTTCTCTACTCCCTTCTCTGCAGCCTGAATCTTTAGTTCAAAAGACTGGATATACCTTGGAAAATCTTAAGCCTTGTCTCATGGACCTTCACCAGACCTACCTCAGAGCACCACAGCATGCACAACAGTCAATAAGAGAAAAGTATAAAAGTTCAAAGTAAGAATTAACATGAATAGATACTAAAGAAGCTTGCTTTTCCAGGTTACTGTATGATTGAGATCCTTGATATTTTAACTTTATCAAAGGATTCACAAAACAGGCACAGCCTCCTCTTAGCAGGCCAGGTGTTTTGAGTAGGTTGTAGTTATGCTTTATGTCCTGCATTTGAGGGAGAAGAGGGGAGAGGAATGGGGCACGCATGCATGCATATTTTGTGGACCAATGATTCACTAACTCAATCAGAATAGAAACAGCATTTCTCAGTTCCTAGTTATATCTATCATTCCGTGATCTCCTTTACCCAATGAATATTTACTGAGTTTTTTTCCTACTTACAGGTATCATGGTGTTTCTCTCCTCAACCCACCAGAGACACTAAATGTCTAACAGTGAAAGACTGCCTTTGTTTTCTAAGATGTAAATCACTCAAAGTATATGGTGTACAGTTTTTGTAAGGTTTTAATTTTACAATCATTTCTGAATAGAGTTATGGTCAAGTACAAATTATGGTATCTATTACTTTTTAAATGGTTTTAATTTGTATATCTTTTGTACATGTAACTATTTTAGCTATTTGGCTAATTTTAAGTGCTTTTGTTAAAGTATTAAATGATGCCAGCTGTCAGCACAGTAAGAATAAGAACTAATAAATGGATTTGGAAAATTTGGTTTAAGTCAAATCTGATTTGACTTTATGGTATCACTCAGAAGAATTAATTTGATTTACTACAGAAGGGAACTGGAAAGGCTTCTCCTGAAATTAAAAAATAGTTTTAGGAAAACAGATAAAAGTTTGAACACTCATTTTTCCCAAGGAACTGGATCAATTTGGTGACTTGAGCATAATCTAAGCATATCTGTAATAAATCTGTGCTTATTTATCAGTTGTGATGATCCTGAGACTCTTTCAGCCCTTTGTACACACTAAGAAAATGCTTTTTCATTCCTCAATTTCTCCACTTCACTGAAGTGACAATTATTTAAAACCTGCTAAATTGTCCAGAAGGTTTATTTTAAAGCATAATGTAAAAAATTATATAAAGAATCAACTAGATTTTATAATGGATTTGTGAATAGAAAAATACTCAAGTTATTAGCACTGAATAAATATCCTTTTAATAGTTATATACACAAATATACAACTATGTGAACTTCAATTAGCAGCTCTCTTCTTTTTTCTCTTTTTCACTGGCTTTTTACTTGGTGCTTTTTCTTGTTTTGCACTGATGGTTTGTGTTCTGTGAATAAAATAAATTAACAGTTTACTTACAGTATTAGCACTAGAAAGCCGATACCATGGATGGTTTACCAGACTTACACCATTCTGCTCGTTAAATTTTGAACTACCAAAATAGGAGACTTTATTCCCCCCCAGGAGAATATGTAACATTTGCCAACTAAGAATAAAATGCAGTAACCTTAAAAGGCATCCATACATTTTTATAGAATTAGATCCTGTTTTTAAATCTCAGTTTGAAGAAACCATAGAAAGAACAGCCGGATTTCAAATAAAAAATGGGTGTCTTTGTTTATAGTAGAATATGGTAAGAATAAAACCAGAGAAGTCTTGACTTATGTGTATACATTTGAAATAAACCAGAAATTTGTTACCTTATTTTCTTTGGGTTCTTGTCTGGTTCTAAAATGATCATTTCTTCTTCTTCACTGTCTGAGAGTACTATAGGGGCATCTTTAAGAAAATGTTAAGGAAACAATATAAGTATACTCTCTCGGAAAATTTCTTTGTGGGTTTATGTCAGCAGTTCTAATACTCTATTTCCATACAAATAGCCCCAGCTACTCTTGAGTTAAGGCTTACAGAACTACTTGTTCTTCCTTCCCTGAAGTGACTCCTTGGCAAAGCTCTGAAAAATAACACATACTTTCTTTACTTCCTAAAAATTCTGTAATTATATGACCATTTTGTACATGTCATAATAGGGGGGAAAGTCTATATAACTTCTCCCTATTATAAACAACACTGAAAGGAAAATACCTAGAAACAGAATTATTAGGTCAAAAGGTATATATATTCTAAAAGATATTTTGCCAAATCCACCCAAAATACTGTTTCAATTTATATGAAAAACTCATTTTCCTATGCACCCTTGCCAATGGTGGTATTTTTTTTTTTCTTCAAAATTTTATTTGAGGAGAGAAAGAGCACAAGCAGGGGGAGGAACAGAGGGAGAGGAACACGCAGACTCTACACTGAGCGTGGAGCCCGAACTGGGGCTTGATCCCATGACCCTGAGATCATGACCTGAGCAAAAATCAAGAGTCAGATGCTTAACCTGAACCACTCAGGTGCCCTAAATTTTAATACTGTCTGATACAGTAGTTAGAAAACATCCCTTTTTGCTTTGAATTTATTTCCTTTATTACTACTAGGGTTGCCCATGAAATATGTTACTGGCCATTTGTATTTGAGAATTACTTTATATCTTTTGCCAACTTTTCTCCCGAGCCTTAGTTAATGATGTATATAAATCAATCTTTGAGTTTTCAATTAGTTTCTCCTTGTGTTCATATGCTTTACAAAGGCTTTACCTGCCTTATCCTCCCAATTATCTTAGGTCCACTTTCATTATTCAGTTGAAAATATTACTCTTCAAAGCAGTAACTGAATGTTTAGGTATTAATCTTACTAATCTTAGAAAAATATTTCACAAATATATAAAGAGGCCTATGCAAAGATGCTTTACTGCAGCACTGTAACAGAAAATGGTAACATTTATCAATAAGGGAATGTTATTAAGCCAACCTAGTTATTGCCAAAGCTAGAATTCTGTGTAGCATTTAAAAATGTGGCTGATGACATGAAAAAATTCTAAAGATTCATTCACAGTCCTTTAAATGTAAGTGCTTAAAGCAGCTTATATTGGTGTAAATATATAGTAAATAAATACATACAGCAAGGTCTGGAAGAAGAATACCAAATAGAAGTAACCACTAGGAAAGCTGAAAAAGGTTCCCAATTGATGGGGATTTTTTTTTTCCTTACAAAAAACCCTGGCAGGCTCTCAGTAATGTTTACAGATAATTTCATTCCCTGTAGGTAGGCAGGTATGTACATTACATACCTAAACAGTATCAACACTTTTTTTTTCAGCTAGATTTAGTAAATACACCCTTTAGTTCTCTGCCAGCCTACTTGCTGCATCCGTCCTTGTATGATTTGGGTTTGAAAAACTCAATTCATGATTATTATGGGCCAAGCAAGCATTTGGTTTTCCGAATAGTAAAAATATCCGCAAGTTAAAAACAATTTTCTCCAGTTCTACAGCTTTCAGAATGCAAAGAACATCCAGGACTACCATTATTCCAAGTGATTCTAGAGTTTTGTATGTTCTAATACTGCTCTATTAACAGCCATATATAGCTATTTAATTTTATATTAGCTAAGATTAAAATTTAGAATTCTTCTGTCACAAACCACATTTCAAATGCTCAACATCTGCATGTGGCTAGTGGCTATTATATTTATTGAACAGTGTACATATAGAACATTTCTAACATTATAAACAGTTCCATTTGGACAGTTCTAATACATGTTATGATATGACACAGGTTTTTTATGTTTGAGTCTAGAAACTACAAAGAAAAAACAGCATGCAGGAATGAACTTTTTAAGAAACTCATCCCTTTAAAACTGGCCCAGATATACATAGAAAAAAAGAACAAAACATTTTTAACTAAAAATGCCACTACATACCAGAGTACCACAACTCCACAAAGATAAGCACATTCTTTTAGAAAACAATTGGAGTTAATATTGTAGTTAGCATCAACAGTTTAACTGAAATTTAAATCACAAAATACTTAGCCCCTCTAAAAAAGGAACTGCTAATATAAAAATAAGATCCCTAAAATAGGAAAGTATATATATTTTAGTATATCCCTAAAATAGGAAAGTATATATATATATATATAATATATATAATTACATAGAAGCCATAAATGAAGTGTTACCTACCTTGGCTTCCAATATTGGACACTTCTACTCCAGTGTCCATTTTTATACTATCAAGAATGATTGCTTCATCAGTGCCATCTTCATCGTCCTCTTCCTTCTCAGAGTCTTCAAGATCACCCCAGGAGTTTTCTATTCCCTCTCCAATTTGGGCAGTTCCAGGAGTCCAAAGCACAGGATTAGAAACACTTAACAAGTTAAGAAAATTATGAGTAACAAAAATACTGCTATTTGATGCAGTGTTGAAAAAGAGGAGAGTAAAAGTTTTAAGACTGAAGTGTGCATCAAGTTTGTGCGAAAAAATGTCACTAATAGCTACACTATGGGTGGCTGAACAATAAGCAAGAAAAAACGTAACTCAGGTAAGATTTTATGGAAACAATGGTGAGAAATATCGAGACATACTGGCTCTCAACAGTTGCAGTTATAAATATGGCAAATGGGTGAATAAATAATTTCCAAGAACAATATGTAATAGTATATATATAAAGTGCTTAACTAAGATTAAGGAACAATTTTCCAAAGGAAAATAAAACGCTATAAATTGGCTAACAAGATAGAAAATTTTCGGTTTTTGTAGGATAGTTGAAGAGGTGGATGTTATATCGAAGACTTAATAAGACTAATCACTGTCTTGTATCTTAAATGTTTTCTCTAACAGTGTTTCAGAAAACAAACTTCAGTATGTACACCCTTCACATATACCTAATAATGCCAAAAGTGTTATGAATCATGTTGTTACTGAAAAAACCATCCAATAAAGATACACTTCTGAAGGAGGCTCAGCTTCAGCAATAATTTCTTCTGCTTTCTCTTCTACATCGGAGGTATCAATAGGGGCCTTTTCCATTTTAAATGCTGTGATCCTTTGACTTGCTATAGACTCTGCAAAGCCAAATTTTCCACCTTCTTTCCTGTGTGGGTTTTTTATTTGGGGGTGGGGAGAGGTGGAGGAGGGGGAATGATAGATGGAAGAGAAAACAAGAAGGGAAAAGTTAACCATTTTATCCTTTTGATGGGAGAGGAACACTGGGGAAAAAAGCTATCTGACTAACTTAACCTTACCAATTTATTATGCTTATCAAGAGAAATAATAAAAAGTTACTATAATTAATTTATTGAACCACGTGCCAGGCAAGTGCTAAGTGCTTTAAGTATATTACTTTCTAATCCTCAAACCAGCCCTACCAAGTAGGTATTACCTCCCACATTACAGAAGACACTGAAGTGCTGGGTTATAGAAGAAGCAGAGAACCAACCCCAGTTTGTGTTACTTCTGTTAGTTTGAGCTACTAGATTATTTTTTCTAAAGAAAATGTTAATTTTTTTAAAGACCAATATTATGTGGCTTCTCAATTCAGATTATATTTAAAGTGGAATACAATATAACACTCCCGTATATTCAACTTAGATTAACAGATAAGGAAAAATGGGAGTGTGAAAATTAATATGGTTACTCTTATGGAAGAAAAGTCCTTAACAGAAAAATCTGTTAAAAATAAAAAGACCATTTAGTTCTAAAAAAAATTAAACTTACCTTACTTTCTGGTCATTCTCCAAAGCCTTCTGTATTAGCTCTGTAATTTCCAGTACTTTCACACCAGCTATTTTACTACATCTCAAAACCTATTTATAAAAGTGCATTCTATTATTTAAAGACAACAAACTACACAGCTTTCTCTAACAAAACTAGAAATATGAGAATGGTTTTTCTACCTTTAAAATATAAGCTTGACCTTTTAAAATACGAAAATACAATGTAAACACGAATGCAAAATGTGAGACTTGTTTTAAAGTATCTGAAGGATTATCACGTTAAGAAAACAGACTCAAAAACTTCTCTGACAGTATAAAAGATACCACTGAAAAGGCCACAGACATACATTATATACTCAGGGATGCACTAACTACCTTTCTGTGTGAGTGATCCAAAGCATTAATTCAAGATACGGCTGCAGTATCCCCTGGGAAACTATAAAGC